CTCATGGTAATCCCATGCGAAGCAATCTTTGAATTCCCGGATCAAAGCAATCATTCGCTCTTTCCTCTCGACATTCAGCAAGGCGCTGACCCGTGTCGCCCGAGGGGTTGCCTCATCCCCCAGGTTAATATTCTCCAATGGGTCCTGCGCTTCGAAAGGTGGAGCAGCTCTTCGAACCGGTGAATGAACATCCTCTTCGTCTTGATCGTAATTAGGCGGCTGAGAGGATGTTCCTGTCTGTCTGTCAAGAGGTTGAGCGGCATGATTTCCAGCCCTATATAAATGTACATTCGGACCTGTCTTCTCTTGCCTCCAAATCCTGTAAAATCAGGATGTCAAACATGATAAATACCTGAGTTATTAGGCCGTGCGTCGGCCTTGAATTTGATTTTGAACCCCTCCATGGTTAGATTGCATTTTTTCCTCATTCCAACATCCTTCAGCATCATGTACAGCGGGTATACATCGAGGGAAGAATAAACAGCTTCTGCGAAATGCACCTCCATAGCTGGATCAGCCTCGGCCTCTACTGTCTCGACTTGGTCTCCGTTCCAAAACATAATTTTTTTGGTGCAATATCGAAGGGACGCACTGGGTAGTGTGGATCCAATCCCTCCCGAGAATGGCTTAATAAGCTGGCTTTCCTTCGTTGATGAAATAAGCCATTTCGTTCGTTGTTGTTTCGACCGTCATTTTCTCCACCAACACGTCTGTTGCCGTATGCGCATTTCCGGTGAAGTCGGTCGTTCGCATGGTTGTCCAGATGAGATCATTTCTGTTTTTCTTAATTTTTCCCAAAGTGGATAAAGTCATCAGGTTGACGGAAGCTCCTCAATCTATCAGGATCTTGATGATCGACCGCCCATTAAGATGCACCGTGAGGAATAAGGGTTTCAAATGGCGCGTATTTTTGTCCGCCAACTTCTTAAAAATTACTGGTTCTGGACCCTCTTTCGGAATGTTGGAATCTTGCTCTACCCAATATAATAGACCAGCTCCTTCCAACATCACATCCCTCTGAAGATAATCGTGTTGAACCTGAGGGGCTTCGGATTCCCGAGGTAACATCCCTATTATGTTGACCTTGAGATCTTCTTCACAGTGCGAAGCTCGTTCCAGGTCGAAGGCAATAATGTCCAAGCTAGCCTCCGTCGCCTCATTGCAATCGAGGGCACCAATCATCGGCTTACCTTTCAGAATTTGGTCTTCCCCGAGTGTCACAGTAAAGTAAGGTTCATTAGGGTGTTCAACCCTTGCAAGAACTCCCTTTGGTCTCCATTTCTTTCGGGCCTGAAGCTGGTGATGAAGGTCCTTCCGACCAAGCTTCGGCCTTCCAGCGACAGCTCCTTCTGAGCCCTGGGCCTGCTGCCCTCCGGCCTGAGCTTCGTGGTCATCAGCCTACTGCCCCCCATCCTGGATCTCTTGGGAAAGGCGAGTGGCCAAGCGTTGTCACTGCATCCTCTTTTTTTGAGTCATAGTAGGAGGTCGCATCACCTGCTCCTTTCGGTTCCTTGTCCAGCTCCCGTCGTCTGGAGTCTTCCCAGGATTGCAGGTCTGATGGGGTGTGATTACCACCTGATCTACGGACGTTACTCGCCAAACCTCACCTCCCTTTTCAAAGCTTACTTTCGCGATCGTATTTATGGAGGAAAGTCTGTCCCACACCGAACTTCTTCTCGGAGGTTTGATCGACCTTCCAAGCCTTTCAAACACTGGTTTTTTAGGGCCTGTTCTCCTACCATCTGCTCCAAACCCCAAATTTGTCTTTTTGGATCTGGCTGGACGTACTCTGACAACGTTTATCGGCGTGGGGAACGGCTCTGTGTCTATTTTCATGTCAGGTTTTTCGGCCAGCTTGAGGCGGCCTTCTTTGATGGCTTTCTGGACCGCATTTCGGAAGGAAATATAGTTCCCGGTTTGATGGTCATATACTCCATGCCACATACAAAATAATTTTCCATTAAGCTCCTCTTCGGTCGGCATTTTGTAACCTTCTTTAAGGCGGAGCTGGTTGTCTTTCAGCAAGTAGTTAAAAATCTGCTTCATCTTCGCGATGTTGAACGAGTAAGATACCTTCATATTCACCTCATTCCGTCAAGGCAACTTAAGAGCCGGGCATGTATATGTCTTCCCTTGCGAAATTTTAGCTAAGAATGTCTCATCTTGCTCCTCATCGACCTCGGCAGCCCCTTCTTGGGCAAACACACAATGATTTCCACTCCGAAACTTCTTATTTCGGGCCGTTTGACATCAGCTTTGGACATCAGCTGCCGAAAGTCGTGACACTCCTGGAGAGCCAGGCTATCACGGAACTGGTGCGTCATGTTATTTATTGCCACATTCACCACCTGGTCCTCTGGTACACGAACTTGGCATCTAGTTTCTGCGCTCCTGAAATATTTCAAGAACTGCTCGACCGAATCCCCTTTTTTCCAATTGCCATATATCCTATCAATTGCATCTTTGATTACTTGTGGATTTATGATGGGATATGGCAGCGGCACCATCTCTGCCTGCCCCCCAGGCTGTTCGGAAGCTGCCTGAATGGACGGCGAATTGTGTAACGCCGGCTGCGGGAAGGCTTGTTGAGTAGGTCCCCGTTGTGGGAAATGAACTCAAGGGCCTTCCGTAGGTTCTCTAAAGACTGAACCTGTTGCAATGGTGTATTTTTGGGGGCTGGTTGGGCAGAATATTCATATGTTTGTTCCAGCCCAGAACCAGCAGCAAATCGACCTTCCCCAGCAGCTCCCTGCCCCCCAGTGTATTGGGATGGTGTTGGGACTGATTCTTCTGGTTCCCAAGTCATTCCAGAAGGCTTTGGGACCAAGGAAAGTGCTGGTATCACTGTCGGCTCTGGCCCCCATGCATTGGAAGTATCTTGTCCGGCCATGGGGTTTCTTCGAAGGCCTGGAGTGGTGACTACGGTGCTGAAAGTATTTTCAGCAAATAGGAGATTATTTTGCCCATATGGTACTGATGGGACTGACCCGAAGGTCATCCCAAATCCATTGGTTGAAGGCGGCCCAAATGAAGCCTGCCCGGCCGACGTCCGAGATTTTTCAACCTTCTGGATGGTGATCGGAGGTCCTCCAGATCCGGTATCCCTACCGAACAGAGTAATATGGTCATACTTAAGTGCCTGTGACGTCGGATCTGTTGCGAAGCTGGTTGTAAAGCCTGCGAAAGGCCAAATCTCTGGCTGGCTGGAATCGACCTTCCGGGCCTTGCTTTTTCGAGTTTCTTTCTCCAGAAGCATCGCAAACTCATTCTGAATGGCAGGTTTCAGAACGTCGGTAATGTATCGAGATAGATCCAGGGTGGATCCGTGAATGGATGACCGAGTTTCCTCACGAATATGCTCCTGAAGGACGCTGGCTGGAAAATTAAGGATCTGGTCCGGCCTTCTAGCAACCGCGGAAGCCTCGTCGCGTGGGGCAGCATGTTGCGTAGGGCACGATGACGAATCGCCGACAATTCCTTTGTTTTTAAACATCTATGCAGTCTTCGGCGACATCAATTTTCTTCCAAAGTTGCATGTAAAAGTCGTGAGACGTCGGTGTCCCACTGGGCGTGCCAATATGTTGTCGTAAAAAAATCACCACCGACAGCTTAATCGGAAAAACCTGTTGGAATTGATTTAATCGTAGGGTTCCCCGGCCTCCTCAAGAAAGGATCCGGGTTATCTCGCGATAACCGAAAAATTGATGAAAAAAGAAAGGTAAAATAAACAAGAACGAAACTGAAAATTAAATTGGAATTAATTGAAGAAGACTGTAAAAATCTAGAAAAATTACAATAATAGAAAAATTGCAAAAGAAAAATAATTAAGAAGAAGAAGATCACATGGTGAATGGCAGTCCCTTTTTTGCTCTCTTGGATCTTTTTTAAATAGTTATTTTTTTAATTTATTTGAATAAAATCTTATTCCACTTTTTTCTACAACAACTCCAAGAACTTTTTAACCACTTCTTTGACCATACGTTATAACAAACAGTGGAGGCAGCTGGGGGATTCAAAATGCGATTTACGTCTCAACGTTTCACTGCAACATTCAAGAGGCCTTGCTCACAACAATTGCTGCTTTTTGACATAAAGAGTTGATTGCATTCCTACTCCCAAATGAACTGATAAGCCTTACTCTACTTGAGGTAGGAATAGTGATTGGAGAAGATCCCGTTACGGTGGAATTGCCTAAGAATCAAGTACCAGAAGTTGAAAAAAAAGTTAGGCCCGGATAAGAGCAAGAGATTTTCGTTCAAACCCATGCACAAACTGATGATTCCGAGGTCTTAGAGGCAGAGCATGTGGCCTTCTTGTTATTTTTGTTGAATAGGTATATCATTTGTCCTTTTTCAAAATGTGTTTCGTTTGCTTATTTGAACCTAGCAATACATATTGCAAGAAAAGATTTCTAGTGTTAGGGACATTTTTTCTAGCAAATTTATACGAATGTGTCTATAAAAAACTACCAACAAACTTACTAATAGTGTAATTTCACTTACAGTGTCTTCGGCCGTTTTGGTTCGTCTTAGAACTTTGGTTTAGGCTGTACTTCCCTTATTGTTTCTTTGGATGCCAGCCCATAAAAATGATATATATATTAATTTTCTTATTTATTTTAGCAGCAAGCAAAACACATCTAATTGGTCCAAATCAAAACTCAATCAATTTGGACCAATTAGATCTAATTGGTTGTAGCGAACAGATCCAGATCTGTTGTGTGTCTGCTTCTTCTTTATAGTAATGAACAAGGGAGGGAGTTCTTCATCTTCTCAACTACTCATTCACCTTGATAGGATAGGATAGGATTGGATATCAATCTGCACAACCCTATAGCCTTCCGAACAAATCCTATATCAAAGAAACTTTTAAAAGATGACATAAAGAACAAATAAAACGGTGAATTATTTAAGTGTTCCATTTTGTTTTGTTTTTTAATATTTTATTGAAAATTATTCAAAAATTCATAATAATTATACGATAAAAAAAAAAAAACAAAATTGGAAAAGAAGACGTCCCTTTAAAACAAAACGAACATTCCCAAGGCCGCCTATTCAGGAAAGCAAATCCAAGTGTGAATTAAATTTGGCGTCTTTCCTGAAGACCATCAACCAACCATCCCTCCATGCATCCATCAACATCAACTAACCTTTTACTTACTTACGTATAGTAAATCGAAGTCGAAGTCGAAACCGAATCGAGGAATCCCCTACAATGTAGTAGTAGTAGTCTGTCTGACATCAAAACTGGTCGACTCACAGCTCATCCTTACTACTACTACTACTACCATCATCACCTCCTCCCATGAGTTCTTCCAGCGAAAACTCGTCCTCCTCAATCACTTGTCCATCTTTACCATCCCACGCCTCCGTCTTCACAATCTCCGGGATACTTTCCAACGGCAGATTCCCTTTCCCGCCTCGCCCCGCTTCTTTCACAAACTCGCTGAGATCCAACACCTAAACTTTGTAAATTACTAAATACTAGGAGTGGGTAGTCATTAACTATTCATATAACTTACATAATGTGGTCGCGTTCGAAGGCGCTCTTCAGTGGGGCATAAGCTTTCTTCTTCAGGTTGAGGGCCACCATAGCCGGATATCCGTATCCCCCGACCCCGACGTGTTTTTCCACATCCGGTTGCTTGCCTGCCGCAGCCCAGAGGTAACTGCACCATATTTCGAATTTTGGTCAAATTGAATGTGATTTTGTAAGACAAAACAATACTTAAATAACTTTATTAATTTATAATATTATTATTGCTATTTTAATAAATGTAAAGACAAACTGCTTAAATGCTTGGACGCAAGGGAGTATAGTTTTATGAAGAAATGCGAGAATTGCATGTTTAATGGAATCGAAAGAGGTGCAGTGCGGTGCGGGTTTCTTGCCTGTAAGGGCTCTTTTTGAACTTTTCGGCAACAGATAAGAGAAGGTCGAGGTATTTGTTCCTGCCTTGGGCCTTAGAGTCCAAAATGTCGGGAAGAAAGGAGATGAAGCAGATGGCAGCTGAGCCGCACTTCTCTTCCAAGACGTCCTGTAAGTTGACAAATGATTAGAGAGGGGGGTGGGGGTGGGGTGCTGTAATGGAAGAGGAACTAACAGCGCTAGTCAATTCAATGACTTCAGGAGGGGCAGCATTTGTTTCCAGCTGCTCCAAAGCAAATGATTCGATGGCTGATGCAGTTCTTGCGCCTTCGTATGGGAATGGGCTCTCCTTGTCAGCACCAAACACCAAGATCGTGGGAAATCCTTGCACTTTGAACCTACTCATCAACGACTGGCACATATGATTTTGTTAGAAATTTTATCATCACCACGGGAAGCAATAGAAGAACCGATAAACTTATATATTCTTATGCTTGTAATCATTCTCAATCATAAGTTTTATAGACTCGATCAGTAAATATGATCTGAATGAAAAATATATATCACTTAACTTGCTAAGAGCGATGCAGGCGTAAATATTTTAGCAAAAAAGTCTTGATCATTTATAGAACACACAGATTAAGGGTAGATTGCGAATAATTGCTTCTTGAATTGTAAGGATGCTGTCAATATATTGCAAAGATCTTAGGTTAATTCATTGAAACGTATAGTCGACTTACCTTTTCTTCGTCACAATTCACATGACCGAGCTTCACCTGGCCCTTGAGACTATTGGCTGCTCTCTTCCACTCTGGAGCTAGCTTCTTGCAGTGTCCACACCTTAGAATCAGAACAAGATTAAACACAATTGTATTCAAGATTTCTGGAAAAGAATGTTTACAGTAAAAGTGCAATCAAGACAGAAACATAATTTTGGAAAGCCAATAGTAACAAGTATACTTTGCCTTTCCCAACTCTGTATAACCAACAATGCAGATCTAAGGCTTTCTTAGAATTGAATTTTTTGTTTTTTTTTTATTAATTTTCAGATCAGAGATTGATGAAAGTTACGGAGAAGTGATTAAACGTATTAAGTAGCCAACTCACCAAGGAGCAAAGAACTCCACAACCCAGAGTTCCTTGCTTTTGATAACCAATTCATCAAAATTTTGGGAGGTCAACTCAACCGATGCACTTGGTTCCGATTTCTGACTTGATCCTTCCGTTGGTTTTCCATTGAGTCGTTCCTTCAGAAGTGCTTTGATCTGTACGGAAAGGGACATGAAGCATTATACTTTCTTCCTCTTGTATTTACTATTCGCTACCAAAACAACATAACTTTATCATCAGTGACTCAAGAGTTCGAACAATTTAATAGAGCATTTCTAAATATCAAGATATTAAGTAGAACAATTAAGTTGAAAAATAGAGATATAAGGACAATTGCAAATATTTATTTCAGAACGTATTTTCTGTGCATAACAAACAAAACAATTAACAAACATGCAGCAAAAGTAGTAATATAAATGAATTTAAGTACTAAATACACAAGCAAAGCATTTCGACCTGTTTCACGGCAAATTCAGCTATGGGCTTGGCCTCCCTAGGACCTTGATAATCTACAGGGGGTTTTCCCGGTGCGAAAACTTTAATGGTGGGAAAACCTTTAATCCCATACTCCTGCATGACACAAGGGTTAAAATCAATACCAGAAATCGAACCTTTTGCATCCCATAATACCCATTGCACAAAATATCATACACAAACATTAAGCTCAAGTATTTGCACATTAAAACACATGCATAATTTCTACAAATTGATATATCAGGATTCATAGATATAAAATAATGAAATGTTCCGCATGTAAAAGTCCAAAAAATCTTTCAAGACTGAAATGACTCAAAATATTCACCTAATGTTATTTAGCTTGATCAAGGTTATGCAGTGATTACAAAAAAGACGTAAAGGGCGGAAGGAAGCTTGTTCCTATCATCCCTGCGAAATATATACAAGAAGACTGTAACACGATTACCACATACCCTACTTGCATCTACAGAAGTTCTCAACCAATTAAACACTTCCAATTTTCAGCTCTTGATATTTTTTATTTGGTATCAACGAAAAGTAGGTAAACAAATACTATATACAGGTAAAAAATTTCACTCTACAACAGGCCTAGCAAACCAAACTCTTCTAAGGAATTAAATCAGTAATATAAACACAAGATATAGAAATTTCACAATTAAAAAATTTCCAACTTCACTAAAATACGGCACATCAGCAGGAAAGATGTCGAGAACGCACCTGCGCGAGTGACTTGTGCGCATCGGCATCAAGAGCAGCCACGGTTGCCACGCCTTTCAAGATGGTAGCTGCCTTCTCCCATGCCGGCGTCAGTGCTTGACAATGACCACACCATGGTGCGAAGAACTCGACTAGAACAACGCCGTTAGAATTTAGGACCTGTAATGTTTCATGTTACAAAGAATGATGAAGCTTCAATTACACTCCCTACGACAGTAACATTTCATATATGCAATCATACACCACAGAGCAACAATTTTTTGTTTTCATATTGCAATGGCCTCCAATTTCCACTTAAAAAACAGCATTCTTTAACTTAATGCAACATATAAATTCAAACGCATCTCCTAGCGGAAGAAAAACAAGTACGAAATCATTACTCTCAGATTAAACATAGAATTATCGGCCCCAGGGTTCCCAATACAAACGAATTTAAGCTCGGATCAATTCAAATCAACAAAGTTACAAAACCTTTTCACGAATCAGATCACATTTCATCAATAAACTCGACTGCAAACAAACGAATTGTAAAAAACAAGAGATTCACTCAACACCTAGACCATCTCGATTCCTTAAAAAACAAAAATCAACAACGAAGTGTAATCACAAACAACTTCACATCTAAACAAACAGAAACATACTCATACCTTGGACTTAAAATTGTTAGGGTTTAGCTGAACAACGGGAGACGATGCACCGTACAAAGCATCAACAACAGGTACACTTCCGTTGAGTTCAACAATTATCAGCGCAGCAATGAGCAGTGGAACAAATGAAGATTTACGCATTCTTGCTCGAATTTTCAACAATGAATCGAGAAAAGCAACGATCAGAATGGTTGTACAACAAACAATTCGTCTCTGAATTCCTTCGATTTGTTCTATTGAATCGTCGAGTTTTTTAAATTGCGAAGAAATAAAATATATTAAAAAATTAAACATATTGGCGCAGTGCTACGTGTATATAGCCAATGGCTGTTCTCCACGTCATCTTGTCGATCATCCTCAATGGGTAGGGTCGGACCGAAGTGGGGGTAAGGGTGGGTTGCAGCCCCCTCTCCCCACCCCAATTTTTTTTATTTATTTTTTATTTAAAGGGTTAATATTTATATATATATATATATTTGATTTTTAATTTATTTAAATAATTGTTATTTTATAATGGACGAGTTGATAGAATGTATCATAATATATTTACTTGGACAATATTTAATTAAATTATATAAGAAAAGTATTTCATGGAAAATATCATAATAATATTATAAAGACATTATTTTGTAATATTGTATGGATCTTTATAATTTGATATATATACGATTTTAAAAGTAATAATTTGCAAATATATTTTATTTAAGAAAAATTTAATCCCAAAATTATCGGACGTAGTTATGATAATTTTTTCTAATTAATTATTTAATTAGATATCTTAATTAATTTTTGAATTACCAAAATACACTCGATCAAATTCAATCGTTGGATTGTCAATAAAATTGATCAAACAGATTAAAAATATTCAAAATGCTCTGAATTTTAATCAAGAGGATACCAAAATTCATATAATATTCTATTCAATTCGTTAATTCAATTTAGCCAGCTAATTTTTCTAGATTCCAATTTATGCCTTTATTTAATTAGTGTTTAATTCTTTTTTTTTTTTTTTTTTTGTTTTCCGTTTAATATTGTTTAATATCACCAAATAATCACTGAAATTCTCAAAATCATAGAATAATTCATTATCTGAGCTCTTTTCCTTCGGAACCATAATTCCTATTTTATATTCCATATGCACATATAAAATTATTAATAAAATATATTGGATATTGATCGGTTTCAAAGAGGTCTAACGTCTTCAAGTTTTATGCGTAGTAAAAAATATGAAACTGTGGGTGGTTGACACAATTTTGAATGCGTGATTGCTTTGTGGTTGTAACAACAGTATGTGCTCGTGCACAAATCGATGGATGAGTGAGTGCAAAGAAGAACACACAGGAGGTTTGTTTACACAGTTTGGTTTTCCAACCTACATCTGAGGAATTCCAATTCAAGAGTCTTAACTAAACCAAACATTTGGTTTACACTATATAAGACACTAACTCGAACTACCCAACCTATCTTCTACCCAACTCTCATGGACTGGTTGTTACTACACCGTAACAACACGGTCAAACTAAGAATAAGGTTGCATACCGGATGGTTATCTCCTTCGGCTTCGGCTCCAAGACATCCTTCTTTTCATCTTTAATCCTCCATGGATAAGTTCTCTCAACACTCTATCTGGTGGAGAGAATAACACTCTTTAAGTTCTGGTTGCACTCCCACGAAAACAAACATACATTTATACAAAATACAAATCCTGTACACAAGATGACAAAGTTGACTGTGTGCTCTCTTTGGGGCAGCAAGGACGAGGTATTAAATGCCTTTCAGGATGAGTGCAACACACAAGTGTCAACTCTTGCACGTCTTCTACATGAGACAGGGTGATTAGCCCCACATCATTAATTATCCAGCAAGTTTAACCTACACAAAGGTGGCAACTCGGCCACAATTTCTGTCTGTAAAGTATTTGCCAAAACTGTGTCACACAGCTGCTGCGACAACCTGACATATGCCTGCACATTGCCAAAAATAGCAAAAAGAGGGTTTTTGGCTTTTTGCAAAATATAACATAACATACATATACATACAAATAGAACATTATTAATATATATTACCTCAATCCGGCTCTAAGGGTTCCATTTATTTTTTCGGTGTTGATATTTGAAAATTAATTATTATATCAAAACGTAGTACAAATTAAGAAAAAATTGTGAAAATACTTTTATTAGTGTCTTATAATACTAATAGAATTACAAAAAATTATACAAAATAGGGATATTTTTAATGTTAAGTACAATGACGCAAAAGGTAAATGTGGCCCTTAGAGATTGATGGAGAAGGAGTATTTAGCAACATATATACATATAAATATCATATAGCTAACATTAATCACATACATAGTTTATATTCAATTAGTAGGACATATAAAGTTAAATATCACATAGTTAGTGTAACATCCTTAGTTGGCTCATACTGAAAATGCTATCGCCATACTGCATCATGAGATCGTCACCTCCTACTTCGGACCCCACAACACAGTGTTAAGACTAAGATTAACTATAAAAGCGCATTGTCATATAACACAATATGATTTTATGAATATTTACGAAGAACACTTCTAAACAAGAGGTTCTTCCGGTTAAAAATTTAAATATAATACAACAGATGTAAGTTCACTCACTCAGTCCGTCTTTCTATATCCCGAGACGTCCCCTGTCCCAGAGGTGCCATGCATACCGGAACCAAATATTTTTCTTAAACACAGTTTAGAATTAAATCAATTTTAAGAATTAACGTGAAATATGTTATGTCATACCTCTTAAAATAAAGTCTAATATCTGTCATTCATAAAATATGTGTCATGCCATGCCATACCAATAGTGAAATGATGCAACAAATATATCAAACTCGACAACCATGCACATGCACATATATATATACATTCGTCGAAATGAGCAGCCGGAATAACCTCGGCTCCAAAATACTAGGCTCATTGCATCTGTCTAAGTGAGTAGCTGAAATAAGCTCGGCCCCATAATAACAAGCTCACTAGACCATTATCAATAAATAGCCGGAAAATCCCTGGCTCAATGAAGGACCTAATATATCCATAATAATATAACGGTCATCCGGTCACTTCCATATACCCACCATACGACTCCTACAATCAATACATGGATAGCCGAACGTTGTCGCCATCAATCACAAGACGCCCCATAGTATGTGATAGCGAAGATAGGACCCCCATGTCTAGCCCTACCCCGTGTAATATAGTAGAATCCATGCAATATGAAATTACTTAAGGGAAACTAAAAAACTCTACTCCTTTTCGCACACCCTAATGGGATCACGTTTGGAGTTTGACATATGATTCTAAACTACCGTAGACCTCACCAGTGATCAGTCCAATGAGTGGAATAACACATAACACGAATGATTAGACCAAATACGTCTTAACTTCAATGGATCTAATCCCTGAATGACCGTGCGACTAAGTCACCCAGTTGTCCGACTATTATCGTCCACTATCGGCAAAGTGTTATGATACATCGGGGTCGAACACTCTAACTCCAGATGATGCCCTCACCTAGCACTACCGCACACGACGACTAAACGATCGATCCATAAAACATATCCGATAAACCGTACAATATGTGTGCAACATGTCAAATAAGTACATTTATCGAAAAGAGCTGGTGAGACAGCTCACATATCCTCCTTTCATAAATTCACCAACGCGATCAAATACGTATATCAAATATCATAAAATGTAGAGTCTCATACATGCATACGCATACACATATATATATAGATATATACATGCACTGACGAAATGATCCACATAATATCACATTAATATATTAATCAGAATCGCATGCAACATGCATACGTAATTTCTTAAAATTAGATTTAATTCTCTACTGCTTACTTTATCAATACTCCGTAACTTTTGCAATCTCGCCTAAATCTCCTCAAACGTACACATGTCCCATTATTTACTCAAATTAGATAAGCTATATCTTATTCATATGAACTACCTGGTTGTTCAAAAGCTAATTTTTATAATTAGCTAGTCGGGTTTCAAACTTTTATATCGAGTAGAATACAATATTCTTACTATAAAACCATTATACCTTATATTATTTATATTACCCGATTATTAAATATAAATTCTTACAGATATGACCAAACAGGCCGGTGCAATAGACAACCATTTTCAATTCAGGTCGGATCGATACAAACTTCTTAGAATATAACGCTAGGACTACAAATAGGTTATTTGCTAAAAAAATTCATCGATTAAATAGCCAAATAGTCAATTATGAATTCCTAAACAATTTCTAATTTAATATCACTAACATTCAAATTTATATTAAAATTTATAATTAAACTATACGTTTAGCAAAAATTAAAATACCAAAATCAAAATCAAAATCCAACAACTAAATTGTTTTCTTTCTTTTTTCTTTTCCCCTTCCTTTCCCCCTGGGTTCTGGGCGTCCCTTCGTTAGTAAGGGTTTTATTAGTTTATTTACTTTACATTTATATATATTTATATAATTATATTATATATTACTATTATTATTATTATTATTAACGTTATTGTTATTATTCTCCTTATCATCATTCTTATTACTATTAAATTATTAAATTATTATATATATATATATTATATTTTAACTTTTATATTTGTCCATTTAACCGTCTTTTAAATTATAATTAATATACAAAATAGAAATATAATTTATTTTAAAATATTAATTTTTTTATTTCAAAATATTATAAAAATATTTATTTTCAATAATAATATTATTTTATATACGCAAAAATTGAAACATTAACTCATTTAACACACTACCAAAAAAATGGCCATTTATAGCAAAAAAAAATGGCCATTTATAATAATTAATATTTACCGTAACAAATGGTATTTTTGGTATGGTCAACACCTATTCTTTTGTTGCGGTATATTTCCGTTACAACTACAATAATTTTCTTTTAAATTTCAAAATAAATCTAAAATAATCTAAAATAATATATCATATTTACATATATATGTATGTCATATATAATACATACATAATACTTACATATTAATATATACAAATTAAATACTTATATATTAATATATACAAATTAAAATTAAGGTAATTATTTATTTAAAAATAATAAAATTTCAAAATAAATCTAAAATAATCTAAAATAATATATCATATTAATTTACATATATACGTATGTCATATATAATACATACATAATACTTATATATTAATATATACAAATTAAAATTAAAATAAT